AAGATAATGAATACATCCTATTAAAACCTGTGTGGCTTATATGATAAGTCTAATTAGTACAAGCAGCATAACGTTTCACCATGTAACTAAAGATTGTAGTCAGGGAAATCAGTTTGACATATTGAACTAATAACATCACCTCTGGCTGGCAGAGAACTCTCTGCTCCATAGCTTCTCTTGGACGTAAAATCACATGTACATTTTACATTTATATTCAATTTAATATTCCATCCCTCACATACTTTTGTATATATAATAACTTATATTTTGTTTTTCTTGTTATGCTGCTGCAACACAAACATTTCCCAAATTGGGATCAATAGAGTAATATCTTAATTAATTAAGAAATATAACTATTATAATTAGTGTAGCAGCTGACACCTATTTTCAATATGGATTAATCTACCATTTATTTCTTTAGTTCAATTTTCATCTATAAAAATGTCAAAATAGTGAAAATGTTCACGAGACAAAGTGCAAGGTTATATCTTTAGATGTTTTGTTTTAGCCTATGTACTGTATGTCTTAATGCTCTTATATGTGACGGTGTGACTTCCATGAAACTAATATTTTATATCTTCCCAACAGACGAGCTGACAGGAAGCCTAACACTCTAACAACCACAACATTGCAAAGGCGAGTAAATGTAAATTAAAAACTATTCACAATTTTTGTATTTCTTCTTCTTTCTTGCAGTGAGGTGAAGCTGACCTTGCACTTGGTGCCAGTAAGGATGTTCCTCACGCAGGCTGAATCTTTCTCCCTCCTTACTGACACAGAAGCCCTTGATTTGCAATGCTTCACTAATTGTCATTTCCCTGGCTCCGTAGGGACACTTTACCTCCAGCACAGCGGAAGACCCTACCAGACCATCTGGAGATGCCCCCAACACTCCTGATTGGGAGAGCCACAAACCTGACTCATGGACCTGCATCTGGGTTGCAGTGGTGAATGCCCTGACATCCTCACATTCATTCATAGTCCCCCACTGTACAGACAACACCATCAAGGGCCTGTTGTTGCCCTAGCACCCTGGCAATAAGGGAAGCAGTCACACGCTTTGACCTCAGGACAGCTCCAAAGTTGCTGGCAGTCAACCTTCCTTTCCTGAACAAATGCCAGTTTGGGTTGGTTCGCTGACCAGTGGTAGCCACCTGCAATACCCTCTGTTGCTCCTCAGACAATGCCATGCTTGCCACAATTGCCTCAGGTCCCTGATGCCCAACAGATTTGAGAATTTCAGGAACAGTAAGTGTTTCCAAGCTGTAGTGTTCCTCTTCTGGCTCGGGGGAGAGAAGCCAAGAAATTCCTGAGAACCTGCCCCCGAGTCTGTCCCTCAGCCAGTCACGATCTTCGGAGGTGGGCTCTCTTGTCAGCGGGTTGAATGAGTTATTGGTTGGAGGAAATAGCTCCTCCACTGAATGCGTACATTTAGCTGCCTTTGGCTTCTTCTACTGACAGGGGGTGTCAGTGCAGCTGAAATTGTGGATGGCAAAGATGGCTAATGCAGCCGCATGACTGCATTTCCATTCTCCACGTGGGCATTCACATTTTGTGGAGAGAATTCCCTCTTCTCCTGTAGATACCTGTGGTGGTGGGATTGTTTTATTATTTAAAAATATATTTACATTTGTAATGCCTTCCCAATTATCCCTTTAAAGGTCACATGTCATGGCCATTTCCACTGATCATAATTCCATTGTTGAGGTCTACTAGAATAGATTTACATTGTTCAATGTTCCAAACTCACATTGGTTTCGCATACAGCATCTCTGTATAGTATGTGTATTCAGCAGTATTCACTCTCTCCACTAAACGGCTCGTTGCAGCTCTTGCCCCCCCCCCCCTCCCTGTGAGCCCAGTGTGTTCCGATTGGTCGGGACCAGTCGGGACGTTGTGAATCGCGCTGAGCTCCGTGGAGGTGTTATTTCCTTGTTTAGCGATACACAGCGAAACACAGCCAAACTCACCCTGAGCACACACAAAGTCACAGCCGAAGTAAAAACAATAAGTGTGGCTTGATATTGAGTAAGAAAAAGGTTGATAAAAGCTGTGAGAATGGGTCTGCAGAGAGAATTTCGCCGCGATCCCAACTGTCTGTTATCAGCCTGCAGCCCGGGAGGAGAAATCAGCAAAGCTGCTTGCACTGAGTGTGTGAGGAAGTCCGTGGATTGGTCAATTTGGACCAATCAGCGGGGGCTTAACGTAACGGCTCCGCGGACGTAACGTAACGGCTCCACGGATTGGTCCATTTCGTTCCGGGGACGACATGACATCATGATGTACCCGGAAGAATCAAATGGACAGTGACGTATCTCCAACGAGGCGTTTTGGGGAGGTATTTTCTGTTTTAGAGTTTTACTCGCTACATGGTGTACTTTGAGGGTTTTCACTCTGCACACCGTTTACATGCATAAAAACCTTCATAACACACAAGGGGACGGGTAATAACCGGAAAAGCATGACATGTCACCTTTAATTGTTTATAGCTTACTGTATGTTTATTTCATGGATATTTCTGTGTTTTCTGGTGTGTAATATTTGTAATCTTGGGGCCTCTTCTCTTTAACGTCTACATGCTACCACTGGCTCAGATAATGAAGAACAACAAAATAAGTTACCATAGATATGCAGATGACACACAAATTTACATAACAATTTCACCAGGAGACTATGCTCCAATTCAAACACTGAGTAAGTGCATTGATCAAATCAATGACTGGATGTGTCAGAACTTTCTCCAATTAAACAAAGATAAAACTGAGGTAATGGTTTTTGGAGCCAAGGCAGAACGTATAAAAGTTAGCGCTGAGCTTCAGCCTGCAATGTTCAAAACAACAGATAGAGCCAGAAATCTAGGTGTAGTCATGGACTCTGACCTGAGTTTCAACAGTCACATTAAAACAGTTACTAAATCAGCCTACTATCACCTAAAGAATATATCTAGGATTAAAAGACTAATGTCACAGCAGGATTTGGAAAAACTTGTCCATGCTTTTATCTTCAGTAGACTGAACTACTGCAATGGTGTCTTCACAGGTCTCACTAAAAAATCTATTAGAAAGCTGCAGCTGATTCAGAACGCTGCTGCTCGAGTCCTCACTGACACTAAGAAAGTGGATCACATCACTCCTGTTCTGAAGTCTTTACACTGGCTTCCTGTGTGTCAAAGAATAGATTTCAAAATACTGCTGCTGGTTTATAAAGCTTTGAATGGTTTAGGCCCAAAATATATTTCTGACCACCTGCTAAATGATGAACCATCCAGATCTCTCAGGTCTTCAGGGACTGGTCAGCTTTCTGTCCCCAGAGTCAGAACTAAACATGGTAAAGCAGCGTTCAGTTATTATGCTCCAAATATCTGGAACAAACTCCCAGAAACCTGCAGGTCCGCTGCAACTCTTACTACTTTTAAATCCAGGCTGAAGACTTTTCTTTTTGCCGCTGCTTTTAATTGAACTATTCATATCTTAGACTGCACTGTAACTTTTATCCATGTATTTTTTCTTTTAATGTTTATTTTATTAGCTTTTCTTTTTAATGACTAATTTTAAATGCCATTTTCTTAATGTCTTTCATTTTTTGTAAAGCACTTTGAATTGCCTTGTGTTGAAAAGTGCTATATAAATAAACTTGCCTTGCCTAATAAAGATTTCATGTGACACATAAAATGGATTTTTTGATGGGAATTAATGTGAATAAATTAACTTTAGGTTAACGGTACTCTTGCTATCACTACTCACCGACACTCTATAAACCTTGTCCCTCATGCTAGCCCTGACAACACCGGTAAGCACACCTTCATCTAGGCTGCCCTGTTTTATGTGTCCTGACTTGTAGTGGTTCTCTCCTCTATCTACACTCTTCTTGTCATCTTTGTAAAACGATATCAGACTGGTAATTGACACAGCCATGACTTCTAGTTAAATTCAGTGTGGCTAAAATGAAAAGCTTTGTTAAAATATGTAAGCACGCGGAAGTCAAAGTCAGCTTTATTGTAAAAAATTCTACATGTTATACATCCAGAAATATCGTTTCCCACAGTGTGACATGTATACATAAAACAAAACAAAAAGGGCCTAGATAAACGTGGTATACATTAAACAAAACAAAAAGGGCCTAGATAACCGGGGTATACAGTTTAAAATCGTTAATATATTTAAAGTGTTCAAAGTGCAGTTTCAGTGCAAGTCAGTTGAAACGACCTTAAATTGGCGTGACGTTGAAGTCGTGCGACCCTGCTGCTGTACTGGCTTGTAGTTAGTTTATCATAACGTTAGCATTTCGCTTTTGGCGACTAGATTTATGATTCAAAAATTATAAAAGTAGGATAGACATGTGGAGATTATCCGGCTGAACAAAACGTGATCCCTCTCTTAAATGTGTGTCAACCACAGACCTTATTTCGAGCTATTTTCCAAAATCCTATGGAGAATTTGCATTGCGTTTTTCACGAAGGAACCGGAAGAAGTTTACTTCCGGGTTTTACGACGCGTCACTGCGGTTCTCTATATCCTCGCGATTGAGAAACGGCCCGGGTCACTACCGGAGGACCGAGGATTCGAGGAGTCGAAGAGAGGAAATTAGTGAAATGAGAAAGGCCCAAGGAGGGTGGCTGTTATACCATTGGCTAATGGTTGCACAACCCAACACATTGGGACATTACAAAGTTGCCAAAATCTGATCAGCTTATTTTATTTTATTTAAATGAATCAGGACAAAAAGAGTGATTATTTATTCTCCTGAATCTTTCTAAATCTCTTAACACAGAGAGGGCACAAATGAATAAAATACATGAAATAGTGGATTTTGCACAATAGGTGAACTTTAAGGTGTTTGGTGTAGCAGCTGCACTCAGTATTCGTAATAAGTATTCTGTTTGAAGAATAGACTTCAAAACAACATTTTCATTATATTAGTGATGTCGGACTGTTTTCCTAACCTCCACTATCTGACCACCTTTTTAAATTTGACTATACCCTTTGACACTTGCTTTACAGCATCCCGGCCCTGTCTGTATAATGGCATGCCTGCTCACTTTGCCGACTCACCTCAGATGGAGGCCATCTACAAGATGCTGTCAGTCACCCAGCCTCCCCCTGCCCCCGAGGTCATAACCAAGCAGTTCCGACCAGCCAGCGTGGTAGACAAGGCCCACATCAACGGCAGGTACAGACATATCTGTTTGGAAAGCTTTTTCAAGGAGAATGGCAGTCTGTGAATATATCATATCATGGCATAGTCCTTTACAAAGATCTGGGGAAATAGGAATATTGACCCAGATATGACTTGAAAATGCAACTTTTGGATCTGTCAGCCATGCTACCGCTTGACAACAGGTCCTGCAAGACTGCTCACCAAAAAGTCAAACACTGGAGAGGGTACATCATTTATTTGAAAAGCATTGTTGTCCTTTTCATGGCCACTTTTGAGTTCTTATGGTGAACTAGTCTTTGAAATTGTTTGCTATTATTTGTCAGTTGATTGCAAGTCCATTTATTACATTACATTATTTCACAATTCCTCATACATTTCTGTGTTCTTGGTCGAAAAATCTCCAGCCTTTGAGAAAAGAACAACACATTAGTATGCAAACTATTTTACCAAAAGGTCTGACACAATGGGGGTTTCATTGATTAGAAAGTAATTATTGTTGACTTGGTCATATACTTATTTTCTTTCCCTCCAAGGTGGTTGGACTCATCTCGTTGTCTCATGCAGCAGGGAATCCAAGAAAATGACAGAGTCTGGCTTCGTTTCAAATACTTTGCCTCCTATGATATAGATCCTAAGGTGTGTATGTGTAAATGTTGTTTTTATAGATACAGTCTGTATATGTAATTCCATTCCACTCTTGATTTGACTCCTATTTTCTCTGGCTGTGCAGTATGATGTTGTGCGTCTGACCCAGCTGTATGAGCAGGCGCGCTGGGCCATCCTGCTGGAGGACATCGACTGCACAGAGGAGGAGATGATGTTGTTTGGAGCTCTACAGGTAGAAAACACTGCTACTGAAAAGCCAAATGTGTGTCAACGGGTAGACACACACACATTAAAAACAGCTAAATGTCAAGAAATACAATTAAGGAAGTGGGCATTTCCTTCATGTAACTCTTTAAAAGTAAAAAATTACAGGAATTCATGGGGTAGAACAGAGAGCTTCTCTTTACGCGGATGACCTTCTTCTTTATGTCTCTAACTTATCTGTGTCTGTCCCTGCAGCTCTCTCTATCCTTAGCTCATTTGGTGCTGTATCCGGTTATCAACTCAATTTAAGTAAAAGCGAATTGTTCCCTTTAAATAGAGTGGCGCGTGAGTTCCCTCTACATAGTCTACCATTTAAAATTGTACTACACAGCTTCACTTACCTCGGGATCCAGGTGACCGATACATTTAAAGATCTTTATAAAGCTAATTTTGCCCCCCTTTTGTCCCGCGTACAGGAAGACTTCGACCGCTGGTCAGTGTTAAATCTGTCTCTGGTTGCCCGAATTAATTCTATAAAGATGAATATACTCCCCAAATTTCTATATTTATTTCAATGTGTGCCCATTTTCCTCCCTCAAACTTTTTTTCGTAAAACTGACACTATTATTTCTAACTTTATTTGGAACAACAAAACCCCAAGGATACGCAAGCAATTTTTACAGAGACCAAAGGCGCGGGGTGGACTTGCTCTGCCGAATTTGAGGTTCTATTATTGGGCTACAAATCTGAGAATAATACAGTCCTGGCTGCAGTCTGACTCACAGCACTCTCCGCCTGTCTGGCTTGAAATGGAGGCTGCTTCCTGTAGTCCAGTATATCTTTCAGCATTGGCTCAGTCTCCCATTAAGACCCCCTCTTCTGCTTACACTAAAAATGTAATTGTTAAAGCATCCTTGAACATTTGAAATCAGTTCAGACGTTTCTTTGATCTCCAAACATACTCTACATTAGCCCCTTTAACTGCAAACCATGTTTTTCCTCCATCCTTAGTAGATGGCGCATTTACTATTTGGTTTAACCAAGGCATTAAAACATTCAAAGACCTTTATATTCACAACACATTTGCCTCTTTCCAACAGCTATCTGATACATTTGCACTACCTAGCCAACATTTCTTCAGGTATCTACAGATTTTCAGTTTTGTTAATAATAGATTTCCTCAGTTTCCTAATCACCCAGCTGATTCGCCGCAAGACACACTCCTTAGGCCGTTATCTACTCTGAAGGGAATGATGACGTGTATTTACGCTCAGATTTACTCTCTTCGTTTGGTTATCCTGAACTCCATTAAGTCTCTTTGGAAAATAGATCTTGGGGAGGAGATTTCTGAAGAACTTTGGGAAAAAGCCCTTGCTAATGTACATAAATCTTCTATTTGTGCTAGACATGGACTGATTCAGTGCAAAGTAGTGCATCGTACACACTTTACTAAGCTCAGGCTCTCTAAAATATATAAGGAGGTGGACCCAACTTGTGACAGATGTAGCCAAGCACCGGCGAGTCACGCACACATGTTCTGGTCTTGTCCGGTCTTACACTCTTATTGGACTGACATCTTTAGATCACTGTCAGAAATCACTGGAAAACCGATCGCTCCTAATGATATGACCGCACTGTTTGGTGTAACCCCACCCACATGGCCACTCTCTTCTCTGGAGACAGCCTACATAGCCTTTGTTACCTTACTAGCCAGACGCCTGATATTGCTCATGTGGAAGTCTCCAACATCCCCTTCACACACCTTGTGGTTAAAAGAAGTCCTAAATTCAGCCAAACTCGAGAAAATAAGGTGCATACTGAGGGGCTCCCTGGGGAAATTCCACAAGATGTGGAACCCCTTCTACAAGTAGCCTATATACGGGAGCTGGACATGCCGGATGTCTCTGTACAATAGGGTGGTGGACCTGCGGTGTCAAGGCTATTTTCTCGATCTATTTTGGAATTCCGATTTCAATTTTTGAAATCGGTCTTTAATTCACTGTGTAACAAATCGACTACGCAAATTAGTCATTCAAGACAAAAATGTCCACTGCAAAATGCTTTGATAAAAATATTATATTAAAAGGTTTTTTTCACAACCTTTTTGGGTTCAATCTTTAAAGCAACTTCCGCCCTAATAGAAGATATCAAAAATGTAATCCTTTTCAAGATTTTAACCCTTTAAATGCCATTTTGAATACATGAAACCGCTGTTTTTTTTGTGATGAAAACAGAGAAAATGAGTTATTTTCCAAAAAATACATATCTGGGGACTGGCTCTTTTTTTTTTATAACAGTCTTGGATATGTCAAATATTAGCAACAAAATGGATTTTTTTGCATTATTAGTTTTTGCACAAAATCAGATTGAACAAAAAAGTTACAAATTAGTCATTCGGGACAAAAATGTCTTTCAATCAACTTCAGTCCTGATCAAAAATACCAAATGTTAACTTATGTTCAGGATTTTAACCCTTTAACTGCCAGTTTGAAAACATGAATTTGCGTTTTCTATGAAAAACATGCACAAAAAGGCAGTTATTTTCCATATAATAAATGTTGGGGGGGTCGGCTTTTTTTTTTTTTAACACAGTCTTGGATATGTCAAAGATTAGCAACAACATTGATTTTGGTTGATTATTAGTTTTTGCACAGAATCAGATTAAACAAAAAACTCACATATTAGCCAATCGCGGCCAAAAATGTCCCATTCAATCCCATTATAACCACATCTTTTGATCTCTCCGCCATACCGGTATAAAATCATGCATTTTGTAATGTCAGGGTTTTATATTGGAGGAAAATAGTTAAATGTGTCCTTTTTACTGTATATGACCAGATGTGACATTTTACCATTGAATTACATGCTTGTCATTTCTTGGTTTCTTTGCCTGTTGTATAATGGGGCCCTGAGAGCCATTGGAATACATGTATGCAACTAATATGATGTAGGTGTGTTGGTATGGATGTGGAAGAGTGGTATCAGCTGAGAAATGTGTGTGTGTGTGTGTGTGTGTGTGTGTGTGTGTGTGTGTGTGTGTGTGTGTGTGTGTGTGTGTGTGTGTGTGTGTGTGTGTGTGTGTGTGTGTGTGTGTGTGTGTGTGTGTGTGTGTGTGTGTGTGTGTGTGTGTGTGTGTGTGTGTGTGTGTGTGTGTGTGTGTGTGTGTGTGTGTGTATATGGTTGTACAGTGTGTGTGTACAGAGACAACAATATACAGTAGATTTGGTTTACAGCAAGTCGCAGTTTTCGCCTCATATCTTTCTTTCTTTCTCTCTCTCTTTTTCTCTCACTCCCTCATTCCCAAACTCATACACACTCTTACATATTAAACCTCCTTATACCTTGTATGTGTGTGAGTGATTGTGTGTGAGAATGAGACAGGAGTAAATGTGCTCTCATGGCATTTTGTTTTTCATTTGTGCTGTTTCATGTGTCTTTGAGGTAAACAGATGTATGATCTTGACCCAGCTTGACCTCAATGTTTTGAATTGTTTGAACTTCAAAGTCCTTTGATAATGTCAAACAGACATACACAGCGATACATATACTCCTTGAAGTAAATAAAAACACCTGGCTGCAAAGCCAAAGCTTCAAATATGTGTAGGTTGGCTGGCTGGTCATTTAATTCCTGTGATACGCAACAAGCAGTAAGATGAAGAGGAGCTTCTCTGTGGGACAAGAGGTCTCATGCAGCCCCTAACTTCAGCTGCAGGACTCATCTTCTGAAACAGAAACACCCTGAGAAGGAGAATCTGGTGTGGATCTGCCTGAACTGTGCTTGAAAGGAGTCAGCACAAAGATAAAACACTTTTTTGCCAAACATGAGAAGGAGAATCTGATGTGGAGTTTGTAGTGGAGTCTGATCCTTCTTCCTCCAACCCTTCCCCTGAAAGTGGAGAGGACACAGAGGATCCCATCCCGTAGCTGCGCTACCTTCCTCTGCACTATCCTATCCGGAGGATCGTGTCCATCATGGCAGTGGGTGGACATAAAAACATTTTCAAATCTGGTTTCCCTCTCACGAGGAAACGCCGCGCTACATTCCTGCTGCCAGAGGTTTGGTTTCAGGGCCCACGCGTTATGCCATTACGAGTGGCATAAATAAAATTCATGACGTGGAATCCTTCTTTGATTTATTCTTTACCCCTGAGATCATCAGCAGTATTGTCGACATGACACACCTGCATGGGGGACGTTCGGTGACAAAGTGGAGGGATGTTGATGCCACAGATGTTTGAGCAAACATTGGATAGGATAGTGCAGAGGAATGTAGTGCAGATGAATGTAGCGCAGCTACGGGATGGGATCCTCTGTGTCCTCTCCACTTTCAGGGGAACGGTCAGACGAAGAACGATCAGACTCCACCACAAGCATCTGATCATTTCTCTAAGCATGGCTTCACGTGGCGGCGCAACGAATATTCTTGTTACTCCTGTGGCAATCTCTGGTGCTATCATCCCCTTTGTGGTGTGATTGGGGAGGAGCTCACTAAGCACTTTTGTGAACATCAGGCTTTTTCCATCTAAATGGTTTTGTAGTCCTTCATACATCTCAACCTCATCACCATCTTGTTGTTCCTCAGCAGCTCCTCAGCAGCTCCTCAACCTCCTCAGCAAAGGACCTCATTGATTCCTCTGTATCAACGTGGGATTCCGGGCAGAATTGTTCCTTCTTCTCTGCCCCCATCTGATAAATGAACTGTTTGGCAAACTGTTTGGCAAAAAGTGTTTTATCTTTGTGCTGACTCCTTTCAAGCACAGTTCAGATCCACACCAAATTCTCCTTCTCAGGGTGTTTCTGTTTCAGAGGATGAGTCCTGCAGTTGAAGTTACGGGTTGCATGAGACCTCTTGTCCCACAGAGAAGCTCCTCTTCATCTTACTGCTTGTTGCGTATCACAGGAATAAAATGACCATCCAGCCAAACTACACATATTTGAAGCTTTGGCTTTGCAGCCAGGTGTTTTTATTTACTTCAAGGAGTATATGTATGGCTGTGTATGTCTGTTTGCTAAAGAGACATTATCAAAGGACTTTGAAGTTCCAAACAATTCAAAACATCGAGGTCAAGCTGGGTCAAGATCATACATCTGTTTACCTCAAAGACACATGAAACAGCACAAATGAAAAACAAAACTTCATGAGAGCACACTTAGTCCTGTCTCATTCTCACACACAATCACTCACACACATACAAGGTATAAGGAGGTTTAATATGTAAGAGTGTGTATGAGTTTGGGAATGAGGGAGTGAGAGAAAGAGAGAGAGAGAAAGAAAGAAAGATATGAGGCGAAAACGGCGACTTGCTGTAAACCAAATCTACTGTATATTGTTGTCTCTGTACACACACACACTGTACATCCAGACATACACACACACACACACACACACACACACACACACACACACACACACACACACACACACACACACACACACACACACATTTCTCAGCTGATACCACTCTTCCACATCCATACCAACACACCTACATCATATTAGTTGCATACATGTATTCCAATGGCTCTCAGGGCCCCATTATACAACAGGCCTAGAAACCAAGAAATGACAAGCATGTAATTCAATGGTAAAATGTCACATCTGGTTTTTACAGTAAAAAGGACACATTGAACTATTTTCCTCCAATATAAAACCCTGACATTACAAAATGCATGATTGTATACCGGTATGGCGGAGAGATCAAAAGATGTGGTTATAATGGGAGTGGATGGGACATTTTTGTCCGCGAGTGGCTAATGTGTGACTTTTTTGTTTAATCTGATTCTGTGCAAAAACTAATTATCCACCAAAATCAATGTTGTTGCTAATCTTTGACATATCCAAGACTGTGATAAAATTAAAAAAAAGCCGACCCCCCCCAACATTCATTATATGGAAAATAACTGCCTTTTTGTGCATGTTTTTCATAGAAAACGCAAATTCGTGTTTTCAAACTGGCAGTTAAAGGGTTAAAATCCTGAACATAAATTAACATTTGGTATTTTTGATCAGGACTGAAGTTGATTGAAAGATTTAACCCCAAAAAGTTTTTTAAAATATTAATCTGTTGTCATTTTAGAGCAGTTTTTGGAAGTGGAAATGTTTGTCCCGAATGACTAATTTGTAACTTTTTTGTTCAATCTGATTTTGTGCAAAAACTAATAATCAACCAAAATCAATGTTGTTGCTAATCTTTGACATATCCAAGACTGTGATAAAAAAAAAGCCGACCCCCCCTAACATTTATTATATGGAAAATAACTGCCTTTTTGTGCATGTTTTTCATAGAAAACGCAAATTCATGTTTTCAAACTGGCAGTTCAAGGGTTAAAATCCTGAACATAATTTAACATTTGGTTTTGTGCAAAAACTAATAATGCAAAAAAATCCATTTTGTTGCTAATCTTTGACATATCCAAGACTGTTATAAAAAAAAAAGAGCCAGTCCCCAGATATGTATTTTTTGGAAAATAACTCATTTTCTCTATTTTCATCATGAAAAAAAACAGCGGTTTCATGTATTCAAAATGGCATTTAAAGGGTTAAAATCCTGAAAATGATTACATTTTTGATATTTTCTATTAGGGCGGAAGTTGCTTTAAAGATTAAACCCAAAAAAGTTGTGAAAAAAACCTTTTAATATAATGTTTTTATCAAAGCATTTTGCAGTGGACATTTTTGTCTCGAATGACTAATTTGCGTAGTCCAATCGAATGATACCGGAGGGTTAATAATGGACTTAGACTCAGAGCCTTTAGATTTTGTTTTTGTTGTTGATTTTTGTCCTGTCGCAGTCCATTTTTTGTTTTGTCTTGACTTAAGTCCTGTCGGACTTAAGTCATACTGTTGTCTACTACTGCTATTGTGCTGTCTGACGGGCTGTTTGTTTATAAAAAAATTAAATAAAAAGTTAATAAAAAATTACAGGAATTCAAATGTTGCCATGTGCATATGGCTATTTTGTGAATGACATACTATATCAATTCATAATTGTTTAATTTTGATCAGGTTATTCAATTCAACAGATACATAAAAGAAAATTAAATCAATAAAATAATAAAAATGATAGTAGATCACATTTCATTTAGTTGAGGCTTTTATTTTTATTGGAAATGACTTAAAACGAAAGTGATTCAAACAATTGTCAAAAAATCTGGCCTTAAAGCCAAACTCTTCGTTTTTTGTGAAAACTTGTAAAGTATTTGTTGGTGGAGTGAAGTAGTGGATTTCCCTCTCAAATGTTGAGGAGAAGAAGAAGAAGTACGAGAAGAAAACACTCAGAGGTTCAAAGGGCTTTATTGTCATATACAAAAGTGTACTTAAGTTGAATAGCTGAGTCAATGTACTTAGTTACATTCCACCTCTGCTCTCCTCTCCTGTAGTACCACATCAGTAAGGTGTCTGAGTCGGAGCCCCAGGCGCTGAGCTCCAGTGCAGCCATGGACGACCTGGAGTCTGCCCTGCAGTCCCTGGAGGTCAAGATGGAGGGAGAGAGCAGCTCCGCCTCCGAGATGCTGGTCAGACATGTTGAATTTACTTGTGTGTCACTGAGAGTCAGTTTTATTTTTTCAACATGTCAAAACATATAGAAAGAATGTAAACAATTCACAAAACAACACATTTAATAAGAAGGCAAGAGAAGAGTATTTTGTTTGCTGACGGAAACAAAAACATCTTTGTCTTTCATCCAGGAAAACATGACTGCACCAGAACTCAATGACTATCTGAAGATATTCAGGTGAGAGACATTTTCAAACATCCATTGGCATAGCCTTGATAGGTTTTTTTTGTTTGTGGATTTTTTTATCTCGATCACTTAACTCCCTTACTGCCCTGCCATAAAATGTGTTTTATCTTTCAATTCCCGCCACAATGAAAAAGGAATTAACAACTAAACAAAGCACATAACAATTGCTATGTTAACTGCACTCCCATGTGTGATCACTAGAGAACCCAAAAGGGTATTTTCACAGTACATTAGAACTTAAATAAACTGCAGGCGTGGTGTTTAAAATAAAGTCGTCAGTATCATTTCCCCAACAGGGGACACGATAAATTACCAGGTCTTCGGAAGATAACAGATGTTTGCCTCTTTTGTCTTAGATGTGATGTGTGTGTTAAAATAGAGTGAAAACATAGTTGATTTTTGTTCCTTTTTAATCGGTGTCAGTACATTGCCTGGGCAATGTGTTTGTTTGTTTCAGGCCAAAGAGGCTGACTCTTAAAGGATATAAGCAGTACTGGTTCAAGTTCCAGGATACCTCCATCTCTTATTTCAAGAGCAAAGAGGAGAGCATTGGAGAGCCCATTCAACAGATTAACCTCAAAGGTACTGAATATCTAATTGTATTTTATATTTTTAGGATATGTTGTTGCTATGTCACCAATAATGTGTTATCAGTTATCAATATGTATCTACAGATTAGTGGCTGATTAAGTAGCAGACATACTTTAGCAATCTGTTTATCCACCTCTTTGTAACATCACTGCTTATCAACATCAACACATAAACTAACACAGAACTTTCCACCTATGTTAAAAAGTGAAGGTGCTTCTCTCAAGTCTGTTTTCATCCTCCATCTGTGAAAAGTGAATTAGGTTATCCTATAAATACAGAAAAATGAACTGCCTCAGCAGGTTCAGGCATGGGCAGTAAACCCGAGAAGTCTGACCAAGTGGTCGGGTTCAATTCTATTTCAATCCCATAAATGTCACATTTCAGAATTGGTCAGTGGTTTGATATTTATCCTGCACACAGGATGTGAGGTGGCTCCGGACGTTAACGTGACAGCCCAGAAGTTCTTAATTAGACTCCTGATACCAGCGCCTGAGGGCATGAACGAGGTCTATCTGCGCTGTGAAAATGTAAGGACACACACAAACATCATTGAATTTTAAAATGTGCCATACTTTAAATTAGTAATAAAAAAATGTGATGGGCGAAATTTACTTTGGCGGCTGTTAATATACCTGGGCGGCCCACCCAAGTAAAGTCTATGTGTGGGAAACCCTGGGGTAATCCCTGACATTGTGACAATAATCGAATTGACAATTTCTTCGAATGTTATCTTGTCTCATACTTAATCCTAATGATATGTAATCTGTCACTCCCCACCTTACTCTCTCTCTGCGGTTGTCTCTCGCCCTCCAGGAGCAGCAGTATGCTCAGTGGATGGCTGGGTGTCGACTGGCCTCCAAAGGCAAAAGTCTGGCTGACAGCAGTTTCCAGAGTGAGATCCAGAGCATCCGCTCCTTCCTGGCTATGCAGAAAACCAGCTCAGGTTCCCATGGCAACGCAAATGCTAACGATGAAAGCATCAATCCTCACAGTCTGGTGTCGCCACGCTACCATAAGAAGTACAAAGCCAAACAGGTACAGAAGAGGTGGAACTTCGATGTAGGCTCAAAAAAAAAAAAGAGTAAATGTAATACTCTCATTTTATCAGTAGGTAGCTACAGCCAAGTACTTTATTCGATCACACCAATCCATCATTTATAAATCTAATATACTGAATGACAGTACTTTTCCTCTAAAATGATAATTTGTATACAAATGACACACCAAGTGCTAATTTTAATTCTTGAAGAAAAAAGGATTTACCTCCCTAGTAAAGGAATAATCAAATTTAAGTTAATGGGGCAGAGTGAAAACCACAGCAAAACTTTGCTAATTAATAAACATATGCCTTTTCTCTCGGTTTAACGGAAAAGTGTGTTTGGTTATCATGGTGTGAATAAATGTAACTTAAATGATACTGCATAAGTTGTGTGGAATTTGTAAACTGATGTATTCCTTTAATTTCTGGACAGCAGAACAGTGATTTTGCACAATTGAGCTAATTGAACTATTATGCAGCTGAAACTACTGCCCATTGCGTTTATGAGGCAGCAGAAATATACTAACATCTGACCTTTTGCCCTGTGCCTGCTGCTCCAGCTGACTCCTCGTATCCTGGATGCATACCAGAACGTGGCTCAGCTCTCACTGACAGATGCAGTGATGCGCTTCCTGCAGATCTGGCAAGCCCTGCCAGACTTCGGGCTCTCATACGTTGTTGTCAGGTAAAGTTCAATTTAAAACTTATCAGAATTTATGAAATGCCTGTTAGCATCAATTTAGGACCATGAAGGCACAACATAAAGTCTTTCTTTAACAGAACAGCACTCACAAGCCGTGATAAATATACAATTTAAAACTATAAAACAACATTTAACAGCAAGAAAATAAAGCCAACTAAAATCTAAAAACTTACATTGGTATAAATTAAGATTTAAACTCCTGTCTAAATATTCTAGGAACAGTGTGCTCGTCACTAGGCTCAAGTCACTATCAATAATAGTATTGTCAATTTGATTGAAAGGGTTGAAAACACATCAATGATCTAGCAAGTTATTGAATTGTATTGAATTGAGGATTAAAGTTTGACCTTTGTATCAACAGTTTAGTTTTGAGTGAAAAGAAGATTAAGATGTTTTTGCTAAATAGGTTTAAGGGCAGTCGTAAGGACGAGGTACTGGGCATTGCTCCCAACCGTCTGATCCGTATCGACCTGGCTGTGGGGGATGTGGTGAAGACCTGGCGCTACAACAACATGAAGCAGTGGAATGTCAACTGGGACATACGACAGGTGACAATATAGCTTTGATCCACCTTCTGTCTGCAGTATGCACGATCTCACACTTTGGTTTCCAGAGAAGGTGTGCTACTGAATTAGCTAAACAGACCATACAAAAGTTTATTATTTGGATATTTTCCCACTAAGGTTTCCTATGTGTGGTTTAACTGCTCAAAAGGGTATAATAACTTCACACAAGGTCAAATTAAATTAAGGCAGAACTTGAGAAATCAAATATCAAACTTGATTCCCAGTTTTCCACAAAATATTCCTTAAATCCTGCTGCCGTTGTTTGAAAGTGAACTCGTGAACATTACCCGTAAGAGCAACAGTTGGGTAATTTCCCTAAAATAAATGTAAAACATCTGCCTGCATATTGAAGGAATCTTATATCTACTTTTTCTTTTATATACTCTATATGTTTCTGACTCCTCTAGGTGGCCATAGAGTTTGAAGGCAACATCAACATTGCTTTCGCCTGCGTGACCGCCGACTGCAAAATTGTTCACGAGTTTATTGGAGGCTACATTTTCATGTCGACACGCAGTCGTTCGAAGAGTGACACGCTCAATGAAGAGCTTTTCCACAAGCTGACTGGTGGCCACGAAGCTCTCTAACAAAAAATAAATAAATCCCACATAAGGTCTTCTATGTGCCTCAACAGAAGGACACATTATGGAATAGAAAAAAACGTAAAAACGGTCTGATCTTGTGTCTATCTGTCTATCAGTCTATCCTTTTATATATCCTATGTTATACACATTCACAGATATAGTGGATGGACAACATGTTCAGACAGTTCAAGACTCAAGGTGTTCGCCATGCTGACTCTTAACTTCAGGATGGACTGTTGCTGGTTCAAACTGCTGGACATCAGAACCAGTCTCAGCAGGTTTGAAAACCAAACTAATGAAAATGTAAAATTAACTGTTGCATCAGCTAGCAAATAGTTTCCTGTTTCGATTTGCAGCGTCCAGACTTCCTTTTGCTCAGGATGGAAATCCTTGCTTTGTAAAGAGCTGCAGTCTTATTGCCAGCAGCCATAATATCACTGCCAAGAATTCAAACAAGGCGTAGAAAAACACATGCCAAAAGTAATTGTTTTCACTAATAAACATGTATTCAAGTAAATACAGCAATTCATTTTTCATTCTGTGTTGTCTTTACTCCTCATGGTTGCAGCTTATGGGGGTAATTTCTGCTGTTTCTTCCACAGGAAGCTTCTAACCATTTATCTCGCTGTGTGTGTGTGATCATATCTCACAAGACTGTTACAGCTGTCCGTTACATTAAACCACAGTGTCTGTATCCTCTGCTTATTCATATTTAGTCAAGGGACAAACCACACTTATAAAATGTCTTCAAAATACATTTAAAAAGGTCTGTTTTAACTAGTGTTACATTTCCAAACTGTCCTAAACCTGCCCTGATCCTTTGAATGATGAAACAAAAATCAAAAATCTTTGTCCGTTTAGGATGATTTCTCCATGGATTGTCCTAATGCAATGAAAATAAGCTTATTGGATGCTAGTATGCTCCTGCTAAGCAATATATGTTACCAAGGGAACTGGGATAAGAATCAAACAAACCATGATGAGTCTTGCTGTGACCAATGACAGAGCAGTATCCTATTATGCTACTGCAGTGGTATGATACTCCCTGTAACACAGAAGGAAAGTGACTTTAGTGAAGGGAATGACCCTCGCACAAAGTTTTCAAATAATCAAATTAAATGTGTTTGGTGAAATGTGGTACTTTTTCTTACTTGTAGGTCTCAGTCTTAAGGCACGGATGAAGTACTTAGGGATTAGTTTTCCCTCATCGTCCCCTGCAGTCAGCAGCACACCGTTATCTGACCAGAAAAACTCAATACCGTCTGCGTATACATACATAAAACACATGTAAGAGGGTTTATTGGCAAAACATAAAGACAACATCAAGCATAATGGTTACTAGCAATCATTAGTGGTGGCGCTTACCAGCAAGAGCTTTGGGTACGTCAATATACACAGCAAGATCACAGTCTTCCCTCATTCCTAGTGGGGAAATTAAGATTGAGATTAAGATACACCTTCATTGATCCCGAGCGAGAAAATACAGGTGTTGCAGCAATACAAGGACAGAAAACCTATAAGTATCTTATAGAAAGTAACATAAATAAATAATATCAGGTAAAAAGGCTTAAATAAGAATAGAGTAAAAATAAACAAGAAAAAGTGTAGACCAATTACATAATAAACTGACAGTGGTATGATTGATACCAAAGTTTACGTGTGTGTACTAATAGGTTAAGCAAGGCAATAAAAGCTCCGGAAAGAATGAAGAGACCACTCAAAATATTTCTTAAATCTCAATCTCTACATGTATGGCAGCCATTCCATTCAGTGTCTGTTGAATTCCAACACAGAGAAAAAATGTTTACTCAAACATATATCTATATATAATAATACAACCAGAGAAACTGATAATGCTGCAGTGGCAATTTTTTTCAGAGCTATATTTGATATGATTAGGGAATGGTACTGAGCATTTGTCTGAATAAATGTTATAACATAGTTAAGATAAGTCAATTTAATATAAAATAGTATCATGTGGTTTAGAAACTGTAGAACTTATTTATCTCAATGTTCAGATGGGTTTCTTTCTGTCACACAGACAACCATACACCCACACACACACATTGTTTACCGCTGATGACCCATTCCTCCCCAGGCAGGCCGGGGGCCAGGTGGATGTGTGTCCTCCTCATGCGGCTCAGGCCCTGCTGCTGGATGGAGCTCCACTTGCGGAGGTAGGTGCCATGAACTGCCTCAGCAGGGCAGTCTGGAGAACCAGCCAGGACCGGTTTCAGCTCCAAATCCATTACCTGCCCACAGCAATGCAACCAGTGTTAACACACAATACAAACATGTGACCAGATTTCTAATGTTCAGAAACAACAACATTTAGCAAATGTAATCATTTTAGATGGCAGTCCAAGGCCAATGAGGGTTTGTATACATCTCATGTTCTGATGACATGTTAATCTTTGCAACAAACAAGAAAAATATAACATAATCAAAACAGAGTAAAATGTAATTAAAGTGAAGATGAATTTCAGCAACAGAGGTAGTGCTATTCTCCAATGTCTTTTTGAACCCTTACCTAACCTGATTTTATAGGATTCTAATTATATATTTCCTGTTAGGCCGTCAGAGGACTAACAGCATCTGTCATCTGAAAATTAGATTTACTTTTTTATTTTTAAGGTGAAAACTGGTTTAAAACATTTGTATGCACTCTGTGGAACAAAATGGAATTGTGTTTTAAGCTTTTAAGCTGTTAAGGGATCTCCCAGAGTTAATTTCCCATCTAAAGAAAGTACCTTGAATGTATTGAAGTTGAAGTTAGGTGGTCCACTAAATCTATCTAAAAGCAATTCTGGTGTAAATTGAATATTGATGAATTGCATGCTGGTTTGCTGATTAAATAAAAAAAGCCCCATACTTGTATTGAATGCCCCTGACTGGCTCGAATTTGGAGCCGGCCGTCCTCCAGCCGATGAAGTTTAAAGCGCTGCTTGTCATTTGTGGCCACAACTCTTTCAACGTCTTCCAGTGAGTATGAGCTGAACTGCGTGTGAGCCAGGAGATCCTCCACAAACATGAAGCCATCTACGAGGGTCAGAGTTGAGGATAAGGAACTTTACTATGGCTCTAAATCCAAATAGATAATACATGTAAAGCATGTGTGATCAAAACTGTTAGCGGGCAGGATTTATGGGCATGATTGAATTCATTATAAAATCAAGCATAAAATATAATGACAACTGTCACATTTTATAACAAGTCTTTGTTCAGAATTCCTGTTTATGATGTTTGTTTGAACCATGCTGAGAGAAAGATATAACCCAAAAACAAAGATGATTATAGGTATTTGTTTTTAAAATGCTGAATGGAAAAATACATCTTAGGTTCTCATTTGATATATTAAAGTTGAAGGGACACAGCTCACCTGAACTTATTTGAAGATCCATCTTGTTGGCTCCATGGCGAAGAGCATAGGACAAGGATTTAGACAGGCGAACATCTCTGCCCTGGTAGGGGACAAGGCATCAGTCACTCAGAGCTAAGGCTCCAGCTAGTTTTAGGTAGTTATGTAATCAGATTGCCCAAAAAGTTACTAATCAACCCAGGTTACATTTTTTTTAAAAGGGCAATTCAATATAGTTACACTGGCAATAATTTATTAATAACATGTGGCCTTTGAAAAGCAGTAACACAACTGGAACACATGTGTTGCTGTGTCTATTTCATTAGGACAAGGTGCGATTATTCAGATTACCATACACACACACACGTTTAAATATAGGACCTTGACTTTACCATAACTAACCATTCATCCTGACACCCAATACCACGATTCAGAAACCAGTCCCTCAACTGTTAAGAGGTCAATATCCCAATGTATAGGGCTTCAATCTCTCACCTCTCCCCCACGATTTCCTCTCCTTCCTCTGCCTCCTCTGCCTGCTTTTCTTCCACCTCCTACACTTCCACTACTGTCCATTTAAATTCAGTAAGCTAAGATATTCAGACCATTACTCGTAATTTTACACAGGATCACACTCGTTGCCAGTAAACTCATGTAAACAAACCGTGCAGCTTCCCACTTCCTGTTCTTGTCTGTATTCGCTTCTAGACTTCTAGGTGCCGCTGTGGCAGCCGGGCGGAGCTCCGGTGTCCCGGCGGCACCACAGAAGAAGAAAGCTGCATTTTGTCCTGGAAGAAAACATCAGACAGCAGCTGCAGGTAAGACAATATTGATAATATCATCGTTTAAAAAAACACAACCCCAAATGTATGCTGTCATTTTACGGTAACTTATACCTCATGATGATATAACTCAAAACAAAAACACTGCGGTTGCTGTGACTACCGGTGCTGGATTTCATACAGAGGTTGGGCTTAGTTGGCTAACTAATGTTAGCATAGTTCAGCTAGAGCTGGATAATATTGCCATTTGGTAAAATATGGGGTTTCTATGATTCATTTTGTGCTGTTAGCCATATTCGTTTTTCTCAACTGCATGCCATTGGCTGTCGTCTTTAAAGTGTAACAAAACAAGAGGACGCTGGGTTGCATTCCAATAGTCCATTTAGCTTAGGAACCTTCCTAACGGAGTGAAATGACCCAGAAGTACGTCACTGGCAGCCATGATAAGTGCCGTTCCAATTCTCCAAATGAAAGGAAAGCAGGGTTGCGTTCCGATAATCCAAAAATCAGCTCCTAAATTCTAACCCTATCTCCTATTCCTTGACCTCTGAGTGAAACGTCACGGGGTTAAGGGATAGTGGATAGGAGAATTCAAAAGGATTTAGGAGAAGAGACTGCGGGGCTGAAGTCCAATAGTCCATTTAGCTTAGGAACCTTCCTAACGGAGTGAAATGACCCGGAAGTACGTCACTGGCAGCCATGATAAGTGCCGTTCCAATTCTCCAAATGAAAGGAAAGGAGGTTTCAAACTTCCTTTATAACCTCCTTATACGGTGGACGGCAGGTGCAAACGCGGAACAACGGCCCAAAACGCATACATAAGCAGGAAACACCTGCAAATAATGAAATGAAAAACAAACAAACCCTGAAAACAAATACAACAGAAAAACGATGCATTTACAGAAATGTTGCAAACTAAATACAACACACAAACCCCGAAAACAAACGCAACAAAAAAACGCTGCAAATAGCAAAATGATATGCAAAGTCCAAAGCACGTACAAATCCCAAAACACATACAAAAAAAACATTCCGGAAGTGCTCCAGGTTTCTAGGGGGCGCGCTACGTGGAACAGATTGATGTCTGACCAGACATAGAGAGAACGAACAAGAGTGATGGAAATCGAGAGTAAAGAAACTTCATTTAAGTGGAGAAAGATATAAAAAGGTACGTTTTGTTTTAATACATAGAGCGTCATATTTATATAGCTAGCGTTAGCGTGCCTAACTACTACACCAGCTGAGGAGAGGAGAGCTTCACGTGAAGAGAAGATAAAGTGAGGGAAGAACATTTTTAAAAGAGATGACAAATCAAGTGCAGGCAAATAACACGGGCCATAGTGAGTACCGCGGAAAAAGGACATTTGAATTCATAGCAGTTTGTTTATATGTATATATTTGTGTATAGATGTTGCAACTATACAGAGCTTTTGCAATTACCTGTAACTATGGTCATGCTAATAAAGCTATTGAATTTAGAGAGATGTGACAACATGTGAAGAGGGACAAAGTAATGACAGGAGAGTAGTGTGCATTAGACATGCTCAAGAACAAATATAGAGATAATTCAAGGAGAGAGAGAACACAGATTCAACGGTAAACATGATGTATCTTTCTATTTATTTAGCTAACCACTATTTAGACTATGTGTTTTTGATTAACTTGATTAAATGGATTTACTACATCAATGTATGTCTTTTCAGGCCTTTCTGTGGCCAGCATCTGGGGACAGTTCAAGTGTTCTGTGGCTCCTGTGGCAAACATGTACAGTTTTTGGCAGAAGTTGAACACAACAGTAAGTTCACTTTTTGTATTGTATCTGTTTCAAATGCAAGAAATAAGGATTCAACACACTACTCTGTTTAGAATACGAATTGGCAGATGCATACACTAGTTATCAGCATGAAGGACACATTTTTTCATTGTCTGTTTATGTGAAATATGTAGAAGCCATCATTAAATTGTAGACCAATGCATGATTAAATACACAAAACAGCTTATATTATACATTCATAATTGTGTATTAGTTATATCTTTATAGAGAACATTATATATTTAGAATCAGATTTTGAGACAGTGAGCGGCTGGGAAAGTCACACCGCCATGGGGCACAAACAGTTGCTGACGTGATGTTTTCTTCATTCTCAGGCGTTCCATAAGGAGGGTCAGGAACTCACGCTTGGGACCACCATTGTCCCCTCCATCCTCAGTGTGTCCCTCATCATCAGTGAACTTAACTGACATCTCATGAGAGGGATCGAATGAGGCACCTTTGAAGCCGCGGATTGCTCCATCGCACACACTGGCTCTATTAATATTGAACCTGCTGCAAGATGTATTTGTTATTTTTGCAGAGAGTTCTGCAACAATGTGTGCCGCAGTCAGGTATTCTGTGCTGGGAAAGACAAAGTGATGTATTGTAATATTAAATGATGAAGCTAGTAATAAGATTTACAGAATAGAATAGAAAAATTAAGTGGTAATAGTAACAATTAATACCTTTGCTCCATTGTGTCTTCTGGCTCAGACTGGCTATCAATATTGATAAGTGCATACACAGTTGTGTAGTTGCTGCAGTGAGAAGACAGTTGAATAATTACTTTCAAATACCTAATATATGCATGACAGTCATATTTACAAAAGGATGTCGATCCTCTTCCTGTTTTTTCAATACATTGGGTTCTAAACTGACAACAGCACTTTTGTCATACTCCTGCACAATCCTTGTAAACATTTGAAATGGATGCAACAAAAAATATCTGATCTTTGAAAAATATTTGTGGGTGTTTTTTGTATTGTCTTCACTAAGATGTCAGATGTTGTGGGTGTCATTTGGAAATGTATAAAAGTATAATTGTTCTGCTTCCTGGCAATGTTACCCACTGTGATTGGAGGCTATACAAACAAACAAATGTAAAATAAAGATACACAGCAAACAACTGTGTCACGATGCAACTGTCAACCTCGTTTACCTATAGAAGTGGTTCTGACCCGGGGCAGACTGGACCTCTTCCTGGAATGGGGTTGGCGCTCCATCCTATTTTTACCCAGGAAATAAGTGCACACAAAGGTATTTATTGATTTCATGTTCACAAATTCAAACCTACATGGTATAATTACATTTGTAATTAGTCTTACCCGATCAGACGCTGGTTGTGGGTGCCTGAGAGGTCTGATAAAGGTTAACAACAAATATATTCAAACTACTGTACTGTTAAAACATTCTGCTTCTTGTGGCACAAAATAATATGTTGACAATGTTTTATTTTACCCTGCAAACTGTTGTCCATTCGTGGAGTGCTCACTTTTGGAACATTTGGAATGTCCCACACCTGCATACAACACACAAATGACTGACTGAAATAAAAATAAATTCACTTTAATTAAGAATAAATGCCACGATAAATCCAAACTGACCAAGGTACATTATATTGTTGACCGTCCTTTAACTCTCACATTAGGATTTACATTGAAGCACAATAAACCAACTCCTCTCTGTACCTATAATATATCTATATGATGTCAAGAGTTACATTTAGGTGCACAGACAGTGCTGTCTCTTGACTTGTAAGCTCTTTCACCAAACAAGCTAACGCTAGCTGGGTAAATATGACGCTCTTTGTATCAAAACAAAACTTGCCTTTTTATATATCGTCTTTTTCCACTTCGATCAACTTCGTTTCCTCCGGCTTCAATTTGCAGCACTCTTGTTCGTTCCCTCTATGTCTGGTCAGACATCAATCTGTTCCACGTAGCGCGCCCCCTAGAGGCCTGGAACACTTCCGGAATGTTTTTTTTTTGTATGTGTTTTGGGATTTGTATGTGCTTTGGACTTTGCATGTCGTTTTGGTATTTGCAGCGTCATCATTTTGTTGCGTTTGTTTTCGGGGTTTGTGTGTTGTATTTAGTTTGCATCATTTCTGGAAATGCAGCGTTTTTTGGTTGTATTTGTTTTCAGGATTTGTTTGTTTTTCATTTCAGGATTTGCAGCTGTTTCCTGCTAATGTATTTGTTTTTGGCCGTTGTTCCGCGTTTGCACCTGCCGGCCACTGTACCTTTAGCTTAGGAACCACTGGACCTCCCTAACCGAAAGGAGAGGAGAGGAGAAAATGCTGCCCCACAATGCATTGCAGCCGCAGCATTTGACGTCACACAACAGTCGGCCGTTCACGGACACAAACGATTATGGGAGAAATTATATCATGAAAGTTACGATGCTTATTAAGCTTTTTAAAACGTATGTGGTAAGTTGCCAAAGTGCTTTGTTTTGAACGTTCATCAGTATTATAATCAAAAAGAGAAATATGAACGTTAGTTTTTACTGAAATGATCAAATAAAGTCAACATTTCACTGAGCTGTGTGGAGTTTGTTCAACTTTTAAAAGATGTTTGAATGGTGATGTACACAGTGATAGGTGTTAAGGACTAACGTTTATAATAAATACATTTGTATTTATTTTTAAGATATTTTCATAGTTCATACAATCATACGTATTGGGATAATTTGTATTAATGTGGACCGGAGGGAGAGGGTGACGAGCATAAGTTTCACTTTCCTTTTTTATTTCAATTCCAACTTTGGTCATGAAGAATATGTTTCTCTGTTGTCCACGTTCATAAAGCATAAAGCAACAGCATCAGAGCACGGTGCAGAGTCTCTAGATGAGTTTACAGTAGTCCCTCGTTCTTATTGAACATCCATGTTGTAGTCCGCTGTATAGAAAACTGTAGTTTCCATAGTTTCCCCACAGCAGCAGACGCACATTCATGACGTCCGCTGGCGCATCATAAACACGTCGGATAGTGAAAGTGCATTCGGATTCTCTAAAGTACCGCGGTCTCTTCTCCTAAGTCCTTTTGAATTCTCCTATCCACTATCCCTTACCCCCGTGACGTTTCACTCAGAGGTCAAGGAATAGGAGATAGAATTTAGGAGCTGATTTTTGGATTATCGGAACGCAACCCTGGCCTGCCAGTGCAGTGGAGACTTCGAGCAGGTCGTCATGGAAACGTTATGTTAGATGCGTTAAGACTTGATGACTTAACTGTCAATAATAATCAATAGGAGAAAGAACATTACCTTCTGTAAGTATCCTACTTCTTTATGTGGACATGTTTATTTCCCAACATGTGCCAAGAAACATTATTATCTATATATGTCGATTTTATGTTTATTGGTTTACGAGCAGACATTTATTTTTACATTGAGGCCAGGTTATCTATGTATCCATGTATCTGGCTAACAACAGATTGAGTACAACAAGAGTTACAAGTCCTCTACTTTGGCCGAGTTTGCAGGAACCTTGAGTGCACTCAAAAGGGGTTCCCAGTAAGGATAAGGTTTATGATTTTCCAAACCTATGAAACCTTTGATTTTTTATTTGGTTGGCTCATTCATTTTTTTCTTCAGTATTCACTGCTTTGCCATTGTAAGTCTTGATTCTTAAACATCAACTGATCATTGGTTAATTTGTACACATTTAAAAAAATTAATTTGAAGGGAAACTGAATTTTAAACTTAGACAGTTTAATAGTAAGAACACACTCAGAAAACAGTCAACATTGAGCACAAATATATCATTAATGTTAAATATTGTCCAAAATAATGCGTACATTTTCTTCATGGTAATATACCCTTGGTGGTAAGGAGGGAAACTTGTATTTGGAATTTAGATTCCCTGACTCTTATGTCTTTGCTTTCTCTCTTTATTTCTCTTATTTTATGTCCAGGTGATGGAGTTCCCCCAGCATTCTCAGCAGCTGCTGTCAGCTCTGCGTTCCCAGCGCCAGCGGGGCTTCCTCTGTGACTGCACCGTCCTGGTGGGCTCATCCCGTTTCCTGGCTCACAGAGCTGTTTTGGCCTCTTGCTCACCTTTCTTCCACATGTTCTACTCAGATCCTCAAGGTGCCCTTGGTGGAAACAGCAGCAGCAGCTCTGTCACACTCGACAGCGACATTGTCACGGCTGCTGCATTTGGCTTGCTCTTGGATTTTGTCTATGAAGGCGTTCTACAACTGGGCGAGTCTCCACCAGTGGAGGACATATTGGCAGCTGCAAGCTTTCTGCATATGAATGAGGTTGTAAGAGTCTGCAAGAAACGACTGCAGCGACGGGGTCCTCTGGCTGAGGCTGACAGCACTCGCTCTGAAGAAAGCACTGGAGCGAGAAGGGCAATAGAGACAGGGAGGGAGGGTGGGGGGGACGGTGGAGCTGAGCCAGTGGTGGCCATGGCAGGAGATCTCTTGGATCCAGTGGCAGCACCATACTTACCAGTGTGTATAATGACAGAGAGGCGTCAATCTGTAAAGTCTGAGAGTAGGACTGGGGCGGGGTCTTCAGAAGCACGAGTTCAGACTCCTCTGAGCCCTGACATCGCTGATACTACACAGCCAGGCATGGATGCATCTCCTCTGGCCCCCACCAGAGAACTGATTCAGGGCCTCATAACAGGCCGGTCTGCCCAGGGAGGTCACTCCAGGTCAGGGTCCGGAGGTCATGGTGACGGGTCTGCACTCTGCAGCCCTTGCAGCACCACTGAGACATACAGGTATGAGTCTGTTGTAACTTCCATACTGTTTTAAAAGGAGATCCTCCGTGTACTGGAATACCTTTTTATCTGATTTGTTGTTTTTAAAATACCTGTTAAGTGGAGATCCACGGATAGCACTTTTGTGGCTGATTCACTTTTTTTTTAAACCTTGAGATTGTTCCCCCAAACTTACAGAATACATATGTCTATGCACTAAGTTACATAATTGTTTTTATTTAAGTGATGTTCACGTCTAGCTGTGTCATTTCACCATAGAAAAATGTAATGTACGAGTCAAAGCAGCTGACAAGCGGACGGTTTTCCCCAGCGGCTGATGATGGTGCATCTCTCCACTGTTTACACTATATCTTTCTTCCATCAGCAACAGCAATAACCAGCAGCCCTCCTCGTCTTCTTCCTCCGTGGTGCCAGTGAGCCAGGCTAGCAGTCGGTCAGTGGTTGCTTATTCCCAGTCAGGACCCGGTTTCTCCACCAGCCTCCTACAGGACGATCACCGACTGGCATGTGATGTCTCTGTAAGGAAACCCTCAGAGGCTGACTACAGGAATACATCAGGCAGAGGACAACAGATGGTCAATTTAATCCAAACATCAGCCCTAACGGCACGCAACCCAACACACTCGCCGACACAGCGTACACTCCCCCAAATTCGAATCCAGAACACTATGTCGCTTCAACGCCAAAGCTTGGACTTCCACCTGGCTACTCGGACACAAACCCTTAGAGGATCTGAGGGGAATATGGGAGCTTCACCCCCCACTACAAATGAAAGATCTCACCCTCTTATGGGCAGAATGAGGACAGACAACAATGATGGAGAGAATGTGAACATAAAAGTGGAGGCCATTGTTATATCTGATGAAGAGTTAGAGGAGGGAGCGGAACCAGTTATGGAAGTAGACGATGAGTATGAGGAAGAAGAGGAGCTGCACAGCCCTCAGTTTCTCTCCTCCCATCCACAGGGCCTCTCACAAATGGCTTCTCATTCAAATGACTACTCCTTTCCCCTCTCTCCCTCCTCTTCTTCCTCTGGTGCCGGCCCTTCCTCGCAGGACACTTCCTCCTTCCCCTTGGTTCCTCCATCCACAGCCCAGCAGCATTCGGAGCATCCTGCCTACTTCCAGGACTTCCAGGACACTATGGGGAACTTTGTGGAGGACGTCCCCACATGTGGAGTGTGTGGAAAGACGTTCTCATGTACATACACATTAAGGCGCCACGCCATTGTGCACACACGGGAGCGTCCTTATGAGTGTCGCTACTGCTACCGGAGCTACACACAATCAGGGGACCTGTACAGACACATACGCAAAGCTCACGACAACTCACTGCCAGCCAAACGCAGCAAGGCCGACATGGACCCCTCCCTGCCACCACAACCACCACTACCACCACCTCTTAGTTAACACACACACACACCTTATTGTATTTCTATACTCATGCACACATACCTTAACCTTAATATCATAACTTTTATTCTACATTTCTCGATTACTCTCTAATCAATTACCTGATTGGTCTATAATAATAAATATTGTGAAAAACATGCAAAATAATATTTATATCTGGCTTGACATTGCCACACCCAAATTGAAATTCGGTCCATTCCAGTTCATTCAACACGTTCAGCTTAAAAAATGTTCAGCGGCAGCCATCTCTTGCCCGCTCCTCTTTACTGACTTTGGCCCAATATTAGATTAAATGCTGTAATTGGCCGGCAGATCTGAAGTTGCGGGAAATCTATCCACATCAGAGCAAATAAAACATTGTTACTTCGTTTTTGTAGGTACATTTTTTTATCAAAAACATAAAAGTTGTTAGAATATTCAGAAGCTGTGACTCCCTACTTTAAAGGTGGGGTAGGTAAGTTTGAGAAACCGGCTCGAGATACACTTTTTGTTATATTCCATGGAATGCTCTTAACATCCCGATAGCAATGAATATATTAAGTGCTTTGACAAAAAATCCATAAAAAAATGTCATCTGTGGAAGCCCTCCTGTAAAAAGCACGACCAATCATCTGAGCCGGCCCGGCTAAAGTAACTGGATGGTCTACCTGCCTGTCAGCCTTCCATCTGTGCACAAACTTATCTCGTGCCCTCATTGGTCATGTGCGCGTTCGTGTGTGTTGGAGGAGGGGCTCTGTAAGGAAGTGGCAGATTTTTCCAGCTGTGTATTTTCAAATTCTAGAGCACTCGAGCTGGTTTCTCCAAAATTACCTACCCCGCCTTTAAGTGTTTGCTATTTCAACTCAAAACACAAATACGAGAAAGCTGTTTTTAATTTCATTAGTTACATGAGTTGTAATGTGTACGACTGCCTTGTAAGTGTGTGACTCTACCAGCAAAGTGTATTGTAGCATTGTATTGTCGGTACCATTTTACAATAAGACTACCCTTATAAAGGGTTTACGAATAGTTTGTAATTCATTTATTAGGTTGTGAACACTTTATAAATCATTAATAAGCTTTTATAAGACATGAGATGAGAACTGTGAAGACCACTGAGACAAATGTAACATTTGTGATATTGGGCTATATAAATAAACATTGATTGATTGATGAGATAAACAGAGTAACTGTGACCGGTTGCTTGCCAAATAGTGAGCCCACATGTATCTGTACTGCTAAGCCTTATTATAAATGGTAGTAACTCATTAATAAATGGGAATGTGTTTCACACTTTACAATAAGGCTCCCTTTTGGCAACTATAAATGTTAGTAACTCATAAATAAATGGTCATAAAGAGATGCCAAGAAACATCAAGATGGAAGGGGGGAGATTCAACTCAGTGAACAGATACCAAGGATGGTGGCTGATGAAGAAGACGAAATAAGCTAGGTAGCCAATGTAAGGCTTAGTCATCTTGCCAAATAGTGAGCCTGTGTTGATGTATGTTAGAACTGGTTTATAAATGGTTCTTAATGATTAATAAAGTGTTTACAACCTAATTAATCCTTTATAAGGGTAGTCTTATTGCTTGAAAATGTTAAACTATACAAACTTTACGCCAAAATGCAGTAGGATGGCAGTTGGTGGGGACGTGCAGTGTGGGGCTCTTCCCTGTTTGTGTTTAGCTTTTCTTATTGCCTGTGTGACCTTTGCCATAATCACAGATTATACAGTTTGAGCATTTTTTTACATGCAGTAATTCAGCCCCCTCTTTACATTTATACTTGAAATGTGCCTAAATGACTGTCAACTGAATTTGTTGTTCAACGCCATTTTACATGTTTTGGAAGTACATTTTCTGTACTTAAAATAGTAATAATTGAATGGTTTACCATAAAAGAGTTTTGAATACTTGGCAGGTGGAGTTCAGTCATTGTGTGCAAAATCTAAAAGGTCAATTTGTGAATAAACTGTTTAGTAAAACATTGTGTTCATGTTGCCGTTTCAGTGAATCACAAAATCACACAGGTTGGTCACTAAACATTAACCTTTAGTTTCTTTTTATTTCACTACAAAAGAAAATGTACAAAAATATAAACATTTGTTATTCTTCAGTTGTAACACAATTACACTGAACTTGTAGCACTTATTTCACTGTCTGTTGCAAGTCAACTTTAAAGTGTTCACTCGTGACACGCTGAGGACATGCCATCCTTCAGCATCAAATACGTTTTTCTCTCTTTAGTCTTCTACTGGCCCGTGGATCTGTCAGGGAAAACATTATAATAACAATTCATTTTCATTCATTTTAACAGCAGTTAACGATGAACTGAACTTATGGGACAGATGTTACTGTACTGTTGTTAGTACATTTGTCAACTGGACGACGCTTTGAATCACACCTAATACAAACCAGTGTTCCAGGACACTTAATTTACTTAAACTAAGAAACTTTTCATTGGGTGCCACAAATTGGTCTTTGATTTAACAGCCTTCTGTAAAGTTGGCTACAAAACAGAACAACTCACCGCCTCAGCCAACTCTGGCCAATCCATTGCCATCACAACGGTATCGTCAGAGTTTGGTGGCGTCTCCAGGTTCCAGTAGGTCAGCTTGTCAAACACAGATGATACCTTCACTGTCCTGTCCTGAAAACACATATCAATTACTATTAAGTACACATAATAACAAAATAGTTACCAAACTGAAATCAGATGTTATCCTCCATGCAATCAGAGCTTTGCCTTATGTTTGGCTGAACCAGACTGCGGGTCAGCGTCAGATGTTTACCTCTTGGTCGGAGCCGGGCTTGTTGGTCTCTTTCAGCACTAAGCCGGTGTAGCCCTGAGGACAGCTGAGCTCCTGGCCCTTCAACCCACGCCCTCTGAATGATACCATCTTCTCTGTAAGGAGAAAAATGTACAAAGGATTGTAGTTAGAAACAAAAAATGATGTGGTAAAAATGTTAAGCTATGTTACAAAAGAAGGGCAACAAAGTTTTAAAGGTCACCTGACCAACAACTTAATATCCGTCACACAAAAGAATACAAATCATGAAGACAAGAACAGAATATATTCTAAGGATATCTGCAACATTTACACAAAACATAGCTCTGCAGACCACTCTGCATTTCAGTCTAGTTCCTAGTGTTTTACCTATGATGTTCTTTTGTGTCAAATGTACATATTCTGTTTTCTGCTTTCAGGATTTTGTAAAGGGTATGGAAACTACCTATCTGTTTTATACTATTTTGAGGAAGTGGTTTCACTATGTTTGCTTTCTACGTCTTTAAGTGAGCTCAGCTTACTGAAAACATTAGATACACCTTTGTTAATCAATCTTTGTGACTAACTAAATCAAAGCATCCTCAATCATTTTCTAAAAGCTGTGGATTATACATGGTCATAATTATGCTGTTTTATTTATTTTGATAAGAAAAATAACTTAGGCCTTCTGTTATTATGTTGACCATCCTGACATTGGATACATTGCATTTGTTTTTATCTCCATCGTTGTTTTCTATAAATAGCAGACCAGTAACAGTCAGCTTTGGTCTACTGTCAGAGAGGTTGAGTATACCTTGTTTGCAGTCTTTGGTGGTGGCAGTGAGGTATTGTGAGACCTGGGCCGGCCCATTGTGTTCAATCTCACAGGGCAGGAGGTGGACTGGGACGCTCTGCGCCTGGCCCACAGAGGACACGTTAACCCGGGTAACACTGCTGTTACAGGACATGCTGCGATGAGAAGACAGAAGAAAACAAAACACATTTAAAACCTGAAATGTCTTGCTGTGATTTGATAAAGGTGATGTATGAGATGTATGCACTGGCTACAACAGAAAAGTATTTCTCCCACATTCAGAAAAACTGATAATTTATTAAGTTCAGGTGCAAAAAAAAGTAAGATCCGTTAAAGTGATCTGATTACCAGTACATAGACAGTGTATACATATGTATTATATTTTTTTTTTTCGTGTGCTTCTATGAAATGTTAAGGAGAAATAATTGTATCAGTAGAAAACCATCAGACTTTACATAGAATAAAAAGCATGCCTCATCTATTAAATATCTGTACCCAATGAGCGTGTTTTCTTAAATCATCTGATATAGTTAACGCGTTATTACGTGACTTCAATATGGAATAATTGAATATAGCTGGAACAAACCTTTTAGCAGTTTTCCAAATGTTTTTGTGAAATGAATTGGACCTCTTCCGGTTAGAGCCAGACTGCGTGTGATTGGACAAAAGTGTCTTCTTCTACGCTGCTAGAGGTTTTTTGGCGGGTTTTCTCTCTTGCAGTAAGGTATGTCTCCCCCTACTGGAGGGATACTATTTGACTTGTTCTGCTTTTTTAGATCTGTTGTTTTCTTGATTATTTATTTGATTGTCTTCCTTCTTGTTCTTTGAGCCAATACACATCTATCCAATTGTGTTAACATAATTGGTCACAAAAGAGTAGCAGTAGTATCTGCACTTTCATCCATTTCAGTCTAGCAAGGGTAACAACAGCAGAGGTACTCATTAAACTGAGCGCCCTCCAACCTAACAAGGCCACTGGCCACGACAATATCCCCTCCAAATTCCTCAGAGACACAGCAACCGCCATCTCACCAGTCATAGCTCACATAATTAACCTCTCCATAAAACAGGGAAAAGTACCCAAAGACTTCAAAATTGCAAGAGTAACCCCCCTGCACAAAAAGGGCAGCAAATTGGACCCAGGCAACTACCGACCGCCCTGTTTCTATACTTACCTCCATCTCGAAAGTCATGGAAAAAGTAGTATATGAACAGGTCGAAAAGTACCTCGCGGAAAATAAACTAATCTATGAATTTCAATCTGGCTTTAGAACATCCCACTCCACTGACACATGCCTTCTTTATTTGAGCGACCACATCAAACAAGAGGTGGACAAGGGCAAATACTGCGGCATGGTGATGCTGGACCTACAAAAGGCGTTCGACACTGTCAATCACCCCATTCTGATTGACAAGCTAAAAGCAATTGGTTTTGATAAACTATCGGTGAGCTGGATGCAATCCTACCTGGAGGGGAGAGAACAGATGGTGGAGGTAAACGGTACTCTGCCCCCCCCAGTGAGCTGTGGTGTTCCACAAGGAAGCATATTAGGTCCGTTACTGTTCCTAATTTATGTAAATGACATGTCATCAGCATGTGACTGCAACTTGTTCCTGTTCGCGAACGACTCAGCCCTGCTGGTCTCTGGCAGGAGCAGATTGCAGGTTGAAAAAACCCTCAGCTCCGAGCTCGGCAGAATCTGCACCTGGCTCGCCGATAATAAATTATCATTACACCTGGGTAAAACAGAGTCCATTCTCTTCGGTTCGAAACATAATCTCAGCAAATCCGATGACTTCTCAGTTGCAGTGGGCGACATTATTGTCACAAGTAAGAAGGAAATTACATACCTAGGATCTATTCTTGAGGCAAACCTATCCTGTGACAAAATGGCATCCAATGTAATAAAAAAAGTCAATCAAAGAACTAGATTCCTATACCGGATCTCCTCTCTGGTAAACAAAAACACCCTGAAAATTCTGGCAGGAGCACTCAATCAAGGGTACTATGACTATGCTTGCACGTCATGGTCACTTTTGGTGACTTTCAAAACCTCTTTCAAAACCTCTCTTAAAGAGCACCTTCGGGGGAGAGCATTGCAAAACTGGCCCCGGTAATGGTACAAATCTCAACCTGTCGTTCAATGGACAGCTTCCCCCCCCCCCCCCCCCCCATCTATGTATATACTCGCATTTTAGACTCTGTTACTAACTGTATATCTGTAGACTTGGTATGTCTTAAATGTCCGGTTAGGATGTATTAGAACGAAATCTAAAATGAAAATGGTAAATAAGCAATCTGTATGTAAAAAACCACCTGTATGTAAATTGTAAATAAGCCATCCGTATGTCAAATATGTCTTATATGTCTTAAATGACATGATGAATTGGAAATGGGGGACCCTGATGTAAACAAGACGAAAGTCTTTCTCTGGTCTGCATCCCCTTAACAATTGTATGTTTTGAGCTGTACTGTACTGTACCCAATATACGAGCTATTAATAAACTTTTCAATCAATCAATCAATCCCTACTTTTGTAGGTATTTCGTATTCAAAATATGGCGTAAGAGACTTGCACATTAGCTTAATTATTGTCAACATAAGATACTTTGGGCTT